CTACCTCCCTCTGTGTGTGTGTGTGTGTGTGTGTGTGTGTGTGTGTGTGTCTTCTCCCCTGGGTCTCTACAGTGCTCTCACCATTACATTTTTAGACTAATAATAGATTTACAAATTTGTTAGTGGTCATAATCTCTGACCTGGTTCCTAGGAGTTGCTCAGGAGATACTTGATGAATGAATGAATGAATGAATGTGTGACTATGTAGTGAGTAGCATCATTGCCCAGTGATCCAGTGGACATTCTAGGTGTTATGCAAATGTTCAAACATTTAGACTGTGTAGTGACAAGATCTCCTATAAGAGAAGACCTAGTAGGGGATCTCATGAAGACTCTATTTAAGACCTGGTGTCTTTCATTTCTCTTATGTTTATGTTGTGAAGTACAAGCCTTTAGATTCTTAGAGACAAGTCCTATGTGTTAGCTAATAGTAACTACTGATGGTTGGGATTTACTAGTTAGCCTTATTTGGTAGATGCCCAGTGATCTGAGGACACGAGTTTTCTTTCCAAAGCCTCCCTCTCTGAGCGATGTTTCAGTTAATGAGGAAAGTGCAGGCAGCTGGCTCTCCTCGGGCTTTGTTCCCAGAGACCGTCAATTAAGGAGAAATAAAAAATCTTCCCCATTATACTTGAATCGAGAGCAATTTATTAACTCCAAGGCAATGGCACATGATCGGGAAATTGCTTTTTATCCCAGACGATTTTATTTGCATTAAAAATCCCAAGTTTGGAATATCCAATTATAGCATGAGATTGAGAGGACAGGGAGTAACTTCTTAGAGTGGGCCCTAACATCAGCCATGCTGTAGCTCGTGAACCTTGTTATCTGTGTGTGGATCATCAGAACGTGTGGCCAGCTCCAGCATTGGTCATCGCCGGTTAAAAATGGAGGCCATTAAGCCTAATCTTTTTATTTTACAAATACCGAGGCCTGAGAGATCAAGGGATTTCCACTGAACTGAAATTGTTTTGATCTTTTCCACCAAGAGCAGCAGAAAACAAAACAATCGAACCAACTAACGAACAGCAAGGAGGCCCAATTTCTCTTTAATCTCCCTCTAGTTCACCCTACCTCCTAACCTCTCTCGCTACAGTGCAAAGCCAAAGGGTGAAGGGGATAAAGAAAACCGGGGTTACTGATCCCTGAAACATGGATGCTTATGGCCAGGATGTTATTTCCATGAGGTGAGAAAGAGCACAGGCTTACAGTGTGTTACCCCTGCTCTTCAGACTTGCTGTTTGATCTAATGTGTGCCAGTGGATAACCGCTCAGGGGTGTCCCTACTGGCCCAGTGGGAAGGGACGCGTGGAACATCGCCAGCAGGTCTGTCCTGAGACAGATGGCATGGCTCTGCTTTCCTTCCTGGTGCCATCTGGGTCCAGGATGGTAGGCAGAAGACGGGGACAGCTTGGGTGGCAGAGTATCCTGTCAATGGTTAGGCGCCCTATACTTGCCCTACGTGCTCAGACATCCTCAACCTTCTCATGCATCTGTCACATCAAACTCCAAGTCCTGAAGAATACTTGGCTCAATTTTAGAAAACAAAAAAGAGAGATGCTTCTACTGTGTTTTTATATTTATTTAACAACTTCACTGAGGCTTGGCCTAAACAAGAAGATGTGTAAGATACATTCTCTTCAAAGACCTCGTAGCCAAAAGCTTCTTGTCACTAAGGGAAAGGGTCCTCCGAATGCATAAGAACCTAATCTACCTGCTACTCTGTCCTACTAACCGCAGGGCACCAGTCAGGGTGGCCATAACAGTGGTTCACCCGGAGACATCTACTGCAGATGAACTCATTGAATTAGCGTCATGCTGCCAACACTAGCTCCCATAACTGCCCTCACTGCTACATTCCCATGCATCGCATCCTTCCAGCCAGGTGTAGACATTTAGGAAACACATAGATAATGTGGGATGTCCATCTGTATATGTTTGCTTTTATTGGCTAATGAATAAAGTTGTTTTGGCCGATGGCTTAGCAGAGTAAAGCCAAAATGGACATCTGACCAGAGATAGAGGGAGAGAGAATAGGTGGAGTCAGGGGGATACCATGTAACTGCCGAAGGAGAAGACACCAGAAGCTTACCAGTAAGCCACAGCCTCGTGCTGATACACAGATTAATAGAAATGGCGTAATTTAACATGTAAGAGCAAGCTAGGAATACACCTAAGCTCTTGGCCAAACAGTGTTGCAATTAATATAGTTTCTGTGTGATTATTCGGGTCTGGGTGGCCAGGAAACAAACGAGCAGTGTCTGGCTACATATAGATATTGTTAAGCCTTGCAAATGACATGAGGTGGTTAATAACATGATTTGAGAGTATAGTAAAACTACTGATTTAATGGTTTTATCTCAGTGTCTCACTAGGAAGGAAGGACACCGCAAATTAAGCAGTTGGACTTTAATTTACTGATACTATCCTAATGTAAATTGAGTGAGCATTTAGAAACAACAGACCGAGGTGTAAACTTCTTTTCTTTATTTTTTATTTTTAGCTTGGGTAATCAAATCTTCATTTTAAATGATACTTAGTACTAGGATATAATATACTACCTAGTGCTCAGCCGATTATCTATCATTATCTTTTGGACCCTGTAATTGGACAAACAAGAAACTATTCATAATAATAAGTTTGCTCCTAATTGTCTGTTTGCTGGAGCCCGGGGTGCACGCGGCAGTCGTCCGGAACTGAAAGGAAACTGCTTACGGAATCCCTTCTATTCTTTGCTCAGATCCTTACGACAGGGCCCAGCAGTCCCCCACACCTGGGCAGGCCAGAGCATCCTACCCAGCTGGTTGAAACAACAGTCATTTTTTTCCCCGAATTACATGAGTGGGCAACATAAATCTTTCTTGCTGCAAGACAGAGCTGCCATTGAACCTCTCCCATCCCCTGCCGGCTATGCAGGCACGGAACTCTCCTTATTATATAATTCAGGCAAATAGTTTACCTTCTGGAATTTCCATTAGATCTCACTACTTAATTTATCCCTCTCCTGGCTTATTTCTCAACGATTCTTTGGTGCTTTTGTTCTTTATTTTACAGCTACCCCACACATCACACTGCTCTGGCCTCCAGCACACAAACGGCGTGTTCTAAGAGGTTTCAATGGAAAAGCAACACAGGCCATTACTGGTCTATTTTCTGTTTTCATTACCAATAAAACAAGAGATCAGCATTTCCACGCTATGCGAAGCCTTCGGGGAAGTACTTGTGGCTGTCATTATCTTTAGACCAAGCTGCCTCCTGGCCCCCGAATGCAGATGGCAGGGTGGGGCCATCAGAAGGAAAACAGAGCAAGGAGACACCCGTCAAAGCAGATTGCTGACCTGGCTGCTGGGCTGTGGCTCCCTGAAAATGTTCCTTCGAATTTAGTGGCGCCCGGATGGCAGAGACCACAGATCATGACAGGACATAAATTCTCCTCATAATGAGATTAGTAGGCAGACAAAATAAATGTCCTGCTGTTATATTAGAGGCAGGCTATAACTGGTGTTTTCCTTGGAAATGATCGTTTCTTTTGCAACGGGGGAACCATGTGCAACTAACCTGAATGCAACAGATTCTGTGTTGCCACATAGTTATTTTTCATCCTCCTCTGTCTTCTTAATGGTGGTTTGGGGGAGGCGTCTAAACGAGCTGCAGGTCTTAAAGACTATTAGCAACATGAATTATGGGAGTCTATGTTCATGATCATCAATCGTGTTCCCCAGACTGCCTTCTGCAAGTAAGTTCTGGGCAGCTACCCCGCCAGCTTTTAAACTATAGTCCCGCTGGGGAGGAGGCGCTGCGACCCCTGGGACCCTCTCCCTTTAGCCTTCAGGATCAAAGGCATGGTTGACCCACTATTTTAAAGGTCATTTAAAAATATATCTTTACTGCAACCTACGACTGGAAACTGGTATCACATACTAAGCCGCCTTCAAAAAACGTCCAGATCAGGTGACCCGAGAAACAAAGGCCCTGAGGACGGAGCCTGATTGCAATGAACTTCGTTAGTAAGGCACACTCACCCGGAGTACAATACCCTCCTCTCATGAAAAACGCAAGATAGCATCTCCTCCTGGACTCTCCATAGAATCTGATGCAAGTTCATGGACCACACCATTCTGAGTACATTTAATCAAAGTCTTTTGGGGGAAAAAAATTGGAGTAACCCCTGCAAAGTCACCAAGCATGTGAAGAGGCCCTTTCAAGAGGAGTGGGAAATCAGAGTCTGAGTTCAGGAGTATCTGAGCAGCCCTTTTGCATAGAAAGCACGGTCTAATGGCTGCATTTCTCTGCCTCTCCAGCTTTTCAATGAAACTGCATTTTTCCAGGAGGCCCCTGGCTGTTATCTCCATTCACAACATTTTGACACCTTGTTTCTCTTAGGTTGTAAAGAGATCACGGAAATCTTAAGTTTGCACGGGTGCTTTATAGTTTATGTGGTGGCTAGCAAGCGTCGTGAAAATCTAATGAAAGACTTCCCTTCCCACACTGGTGCCTCCTTCCAACACCTGACCTGCAAACACAACTACATTTGGGGTTGGGGGTGGGGGTGGGTAGGGATTATTTTCTGACCCAAATTAATAACTGATTTTCTTTCAACTTTCTATTGGAGTCTTTCCATGTTTGCAAATATTTAGTCAGTGCCCTCACACTCTTAATAATGTCCCTATTCTTGCTTAACTCCTTTTCAGAGGAAATGCTTGTTTCAATGGCCCTAAGTGACCCCACCTGCATTCACTGGTACTCCCTTCTCCCCTACCCTCTTCACCTCCAACCTTCTTATTGTTCTACTATGTGTGCCCCAACTTTCTGCTGGCCCTCCAGGGCTTGTTCCCTAAAATTCCAACAGCAGGTCAAGGAGCCTCGCCTGGCTCTCGGTTTGCTTGGTATGTGTTAATGATTAACCAAGCGCCCTTCCAAGGGTGAGTCACAGCATTAACCTTCCCGTTTCATGATGCACACATCTCCTTGAGGGGATTTCTCCATGCCTGTTCGCTTACCTCATACAAGTGGACTTGCTCTTGGGTCACAGCGAAGATCAGTAGCACGTTGTTTTGTACCAGCTTGTCAATGAGTTGACCAATTGTTGGATATTCCTAAAATGGATACACAGATTTCAAATACCATCTGAACCACAGAAGGCGCAGTCTTAAAATGTTCCTGCCACAGTTGAGAAGGTTGATATTCACAGGTAATTTATCTATCAGGCTAAGGAAACACTCTTTATTGCTGATATTTCTTCACTTAGCTCAGGAACTGTCCTAAGTCTTACAAGCTCAGGTAAGTCCAGAGAACGGAGACTGGGAGTGTGCTAAGCAGTCTCCCGAAGCAGACCCCTTGGGATTTATTTCAAGACTTCTAATGTGTCACATTGTCTCTGCCAAGAGCCCCCAGCAGCAGGTAGGGATGTTAGACTAGGGGGCCGGGTGGGGAGACTGTGATGTATGAAGTAGATGGCAAGGGTCTCTTGTAGCTCTGACTGGAGTTAGATGAGGCCACATTAAAGTTGAGGAAGGGATGGAAGCTGAAGAATACACTATAATTTTTATGGCTGTCTGATTTGAGACAGGCCCACACCGGTTCTCGGGGTTGGTTTTATTGCCTTTGCAATGCTGTAAATTGGTGGTATGGGATCCGGTACTCTTTCTTCTTTATTTTTCCCCCCAGCACTAATGAAAACAGTTTGTCCTTCTGGTATGGCAACGTTCATTCTCAAGTGAGGTAGAGAATTTTAGAAACAAAAGAAGTTATTCCATTACCAAATTTGTAGATGAATTTACTTCCCAAGTATAGAAAACATGAAACATATCGGCCTCCCCTATGACTCCAAAAGCAGATATTTACCAAGAGCATAAAGGAACAACCAAAGGCAGATCAAGCTAGGACTATGGATTATGGCTACAGCCCATCAAATGGAGGCGCCCTGAGAATGAAGCCTGTGTTCATGAGATGGTGTATTCGCCCATCCTCAGGCCTGCCAGTCTTTCTGTTGGGGCTATCGTTAGGTACAAGGTTCAATTCGAGCAAAAGTGTTCCTTTCTCTAAATTACCCAGAGAAACTTCCCAACTGTGCTGTGACTCAGGCTGGGAATGCTTTTTTGTTTTGTTTTGTCATGTTTGGATTTTTACTTTCCATATTTTTCATCTATCTATCTATCTATCTATCTATCTATCTATCTATCTATCTATC